TAAAAACAAAGCAAGGAATATGTTCATAGGAATGTCTAGAAAAGAGTACTAGCACTCTTAACTAATATTCTGGGCTTACATTCTTGGAAAAACAAATGTATTTTGTTGTATTTCTCTAAGCATGCCTCTGTTCTGTCCTGGCACAAAAGACCTTTTGTATTATCCAATAGACTAAGAACCTTTTCTTTTTCAAGCACCCCCAAATTAATTAGTTGCAAACATGCACTGGACATACTCCTATGGTCTACTGTATTGTATATAAATTCAACTATCTGCAGAGAAAGTGAGTTCATCCGGCTAGCATGAATGAGCCATGCTGTGAAAATATCGTTTGATGTATACCTATCAACTGGCTGCATGCTTAGTTTTATAATAGACACCACCTCGCTTAAGGCGTTGGGCATTGTATCAATCAGGCTGCCAAAAACCGACTGGAAGATAGAATCACTAGCAAGAATCTGAAACATGTGTGAATTGCCTCTATAAACCTGTAATATAGACTTAAAGGACTGAAGTGTGCCGTTCTTGGAAAAGTTGCTGAGAAATATATTTTGTATTAATAGAGTGGCCTCACTGCAGGTTAAATCAAGCGCAGCTGCTTCCAAAATATTATACTCAATTTTTTTGTAGTATTGCATGTAGTTCAGATTGCAGGCAGCTGCAAGTAGAACTGAGTCTCTTTCGATTTCTGTGTCAAGCAAAACACTTCCCAAAATATTCTCAGTGAATCGCACAATAGAACTATCGCAGGAGAATGCTTGCCCGCTGGTTTCAATTAGGAAGGATTCAATGATAGCGGACTTATAGAATATAGTGTCTATTTTCCCCCATAGCATAAGGAAATTATAGTTTTGTTTTTTGTCATCTATTGCATAGTTTATCATGTCAATAGGCATATACCCATAGGACTCATCTTTGCTTTTGATCTTTTCCATCTCTATGTTAATATAATGTTTTATAATGCATCGCATATAGCTGCCTGTATGCTTGTACCTTTCTTTTAGCTGGGTTAGCATATCCTGCACATCATCGGAGGCACTGTTTAAGTTTTCTACAACATAAATTTTCGAATGCCCTTTTGATACCATCAGTGCTACTCCACTCTGCACTTCTTTAAATGTGTATATAATCTGAATACCATTTTTAACAAATATGTCTGGGCGCCCATTGCTTCTTTTCCCAGACTCAACCATCTCACAAACAACTTGTACATCTTGGTTCTTTGAGAGACACTTACAGACTTCCTGTATATGGCGCTGGGTGTCTCTTTGATGCTTTCCACTTAGTTCTTGCTCGCTGCAGACTGCCTCTAAATAGTTGATCGCTTCTTCAAGAGCTTTAGTATGCCCTGCTACTTCCCGTATAAGATAGAGCATGTTAATTAAGCCAGAGCACAGTTCATTCCTGCTGTTTCTTAAATAGTCAATTTTAGAGCTGCCCAGTCCAGCCACTACTTTACACCAGTCAAGATGCATGCTATAATTTATATTTTCTTTGGGCGTGCTGTGTGTAGAGAAAAATTCTACTAATACCTCAGATGCGCCAGGCATGTGCTCAGTGGTGTACTTTCTTGTTTCTGGGTCAAAGGCAAAGCAGCAGAACAGGCCTAGAAGAGTGGCCTCAACACAATTACTGTAGTACTTTGAATAGTCATCTGTAGAAATAGGTTTTCCGCCACTGTATATTGGAACCCTTGTGTAGTCAGGCAGCTCTGTATTTTCAAAGAAGAGAATTCCATTTGAATGTTTTAATTCCTCCAGCTTACATAAATACGCAGTATACTCAGAAGGAGCCAGATCACCACCTCGTTGCATAAACAGGCTATTCAATACTTTTTGCGCATGCTCCTTCTTATTACACGCACGCCCATCAATATTATTTATATAATCAGTAAGAAGGGTGTATACAGCCCCTACGAATTTAATGTACATGTCTGCTGAGTCAATAAACTCGTATATGTACGACTGAATCAGAAACTGCGGAGTATTCATGAACTCGCCTGACATGAACTGTTTATATGTGGCTGGCTCTGCAAGAGTGGCGGGTATGACCAATGCAGCCTGGTGTGCTGCTGATTTAAAGAAATTCACGGTTTTTTCTGTTTTTGTTTGAGTGATCTTCCTTTCTTTGTAAACAGGGTTTATATCCTTTAGGCGCATGTCCAAGTTGGCATAGAAGCCATCTGCATCTTGTTTCCTCAGAACCAGACGCATGCTGCTTTCTTCGCTTTTGGTAGTATTAACCCTCTCTACTTTGATGGAAACGTCCACGCCTTCAGAGAGCAGAAGTAAAGCACTTAGAACGTACAATACATCTGGGGTTTTTCTGTGCTCTGCAATAAACCGAGAAAATGAATTAGATATTCCCGATGAAATTGATAGATCGCCCATGGCAGATGGAAACATATGTATAATCTGCTGGTAGTAGCTATATAAATATCCCTCCGTTTCCCCAGAGCCTCCATCTTCTTCACGCGCGTTGTCTTGCCCTGGCTTTCTAGTATAAATATAATCTATCACATTGCCATAATTTGGGTTATTCGCCTTCTTCACGCTATATGATATATCTATCTCGGGGGAGAAGAATCTCTTGTTGTGCATATGCCCGCTTTTGTGCAGGATGTGTCCACGTATAGGGCTAAGCGCCCCGCCTGGATTGATGTATTCAGTTTTATTGGCACCAAACTGAGTGCACTCTACTTTCTTTATTTCTTCTAGTTCTAGCTGTGCGCATATAAAACGCGCCATTAGTAATATTTTTATGATTTCGCTAAATTGCATCCGTTAAAAAATTAAAATCATTTAGTTGATATTTAAGACAATTAGGAGTAGCACCACATTCCAGGGTATGTTGACCTATTAGTTATTTAACTTCCTCTATTTGTGGCATAGTTTAAAATTCTGTCTGTTTGGTCTGTTGTTTAATACATACTCCAGAAGTGGTTATAAAATGCATAATACCCCCCTTTCCATAAAATGCAGTAACAAGAAAAAATTAATGTTTAATTTCTAGTGCATTCGACAGAAGCCAGAAAAGCATGAAGGTTTAAATGTTTCATCATATAAAATAGCTATAATAATATATCGTTTGCATGCTCTGGGCTGTCCATTGCTGTATAACAATATTTGTGCATGTATCTGATATGGAATAAATAAACTGTAAATTTGGCTTTTATTAAAATAAAAATAGAAATAGTCAGTCTATGAATTTTAAGTTATTCGGGTTATAGGTAGTTAAATAAATAAATGGCCTAATAAGCAACTAACACCGCGCAGAGTCTTTTCTGTTAGTATTATAGACATGTGTTTTATAATAAATAATTGATAAGTTGATCTATAATAATAAATGCTATGTAAGTGAATTAATTTGTATACTGCACAGTCTGTATTAAACTATTTTAATAGCACTGCCCATAAGATAATATATAGCCCGAATGCCCCAAAGATAATATGCTTTCCAGATCATAATATTGAAGATATATCTCTATCTTTCTATGCTCTGCATATGATGCACGTAAGCATATGTTATACTTTTAAATATTCTGAAGCTATCCTAGTTGGTTCTGCCCTTCAGATCCATTAACAGCTGGATTCTCCTTTTCTGGTTCTGCATTCTCCTCATCTTCTGCTGCTATCTCATTATATATACTCTCATTTGTTGCTATATTTATATGGCCTATAGCCTTTAACATACTGATTAATATTAGGCTCATTTCTCTGCCATATTCAGGACTATAATCATGCAAAATCTTTTTTCCCAACAAACCCATACTGGCTTCTACTCCATTAACTATCTTACACAGCTTTATTCTATATCCCTCCATCTGCTTCATTCCCATTAGCATCTTATCAATCTCAGTTAATTCATGCAATTTTTTTAATATATTGTTGGTGATTGCATTTATAGAGCTTATACTATCCATTTCGTCTAAATCCGGCACTATCACATCGGTTACTTTATCATAAATACTTTTGCTATATTTCTCCAGGGCTGCAGAAATAACCATCTCTATTCTTCTCGCTAGTTTGCATGCTATGGTTAAAATATAATTGGCTGTTAACAGTAGATCTTTAGTATCTTCATTCAGACATTGCAGTGTTCGCATAGACCTAATCATAGACAGCGGGCATAACATCATAGATGACAGACTTGCCATTTTAGTCAATCTACTTTCTTCAAGTTCGCATGTCTCTTTTCGCAACTCCTGCAAAACATTCATCTTTATACGTTCTTTTTTCACTTTTAATATAATTTCTGCCTGCTTGTTTCTTGTGCTGTGTATTAATGCATGCAGCTTTTTTGGGCATGTTTTCTTTTCCTTCTCATTTACTTTTAGCACTGTCTTAAGAGCCGCTATTATATTTTCTAGTGCCACAACGCTATCCCCCCACGCATCCAAGCATATTTTCTGGTCCTCTACAGCCATGATTTCAAAGCACTGAGTTATAATACTTGCAAATCGATCTTTTTCAACACTAGCCACACCAATTACAGCAAGAAGAAGTGTATTAACATGATCATTGCGTACTCTATATGTACCCGCCTTCTCTGCGTTCAAAATGCTGTTCATAATCAAAACAAGATACCGCATGTTTGCTCCGTTGTTAGTTAAGCACCCGACTATCTTCATCCCCACGTCTGTGCCGGAATTTATAAGAACATCAGACAGCATGCCTATTTTGTATTTTGGAATTACTTCATTTGTAAGAATTTCCCTCTTTATAGTCTTTGCTAGATACTGCGCAGGATTTTTATAGTATTCTGTGCGGTTGTATATTAGAGACACCTCTCCAACATAAAACTTGCGCAGCCGAGTTTCAGCATCCTCTAGTATTATGTGTGGGAACATGATGTTTTTGATCTTTAAAAACCCATAAATATACGAAATTACCATCCAACCTCCTTTTCGTCAAAGTTTATGGTTCTTAATCCATTCTCTAAAAAGCGAACTATGTAATTGTTCTTGTCCAGATTATTTTTTTCTATCCAGTATGCAAGCTGTATAAATAGCTGGGCCATATTTGATGACCTGTCTTGGATAAAAGTGTCTAAAAAGAAACTGTTTATACCAGAATTTACATCGCTTTCTTCCTGTGTAATTGCTTCTACAAAATAGTCTATTCTTCCTCCAATACCAATATCGCGGTTAAACAGCAAGCTCAAATATGTATTATACAGGCAGTGCCAGTACAATTCACTTTTTTGGTAAGGAATGCCATTATTTAAGTACTTTGTGTAAACCTCTGCATCAAAATACAAATTTCCCTTCTGCTTTTCCATATGCACCAATTCTGAATACTCCAAAAGTCCCATGATCACCTCCTCTTCACATGGCACGGTATTTTTAGACGGGCACGTTTCTTCTTTTTCTATGCATGCGCCAGCTCCAGTACTAGTGCCAGCCCCCTCTTCTGTTTCCTGCGCTGGCAGCTCGGGAAAAGAATCAAAATATCTGTCAAACACAGACTCTGCCACTCTGTACAGACTGTTTGGGCTCTTCTTTTTCTTGCTTGACATGCACTCCTGCAGCAGGTCATGAACAGTTTGAATAAAAGAGTGCGCATTTGGCACTGTGTCTATGTACATGTTTATATATCCCTCAATGAGAAACTTTGGACTGTTCATAAACCGCCCGGTCCTGTAGTCTTCCAATGTGGTTGGCTCTACAAACTTTTCTTTCTGTAGAACTGGGTTGGTTCTATTTCTTATAAAGAACTGAATTATATTTTTCACTGTGTTGTCGTTGCTAAATGGCCCTATGTCAATCCGAAATAACTCCTCTGTATTATTGGCCTTGCACAAAACAATATCCGCTCTATCCATGCTATTTTTAACTGCAAGAGGAACATTAACTCCCTCGGAAATAAGCAAGAGACACGCAAGCAGCCTGTAGTCAATACCAGTATCTCTGTGGTTTTGCAGAAATGCATAAAAAGACTGCTGATTGCTTGATTCTATGGACAGCTTATTGTTATGCGATGGAAACATGCTAATAAAGGTGTTAAAGAATTCCCTTATGTATTTCACTACCTCCTTTTCCCCATGCAGAACAGTATGAACCCGGTCCTCTTCCTTTGATTCTATAAATATAATTTGGATGTCTTCTTCTGCAAGCTTTGTAATCTTCAGCTTACGTGCTATGTTTATCTGGCCAGAAAGCAGCCTTTTATTTTCCATGTGCTTAAGGCGGGTGGATAGATATGCTCTTAGTGGGTGCAGAGCGCCTTTCTGCTCACTACTAACTTTCCTCTCTCTCCCCCATTAATTGTATATTTTTCTATTTCTTGTATTTCTTTTATTAGAAACTCTGCAGATGCCTTGCATGTCTGAATAATAATAATAATCACCAGAAGAAACAGAAAATGTTTTGTATTTCCTGGTTTTTGTTTCCATGCTAAGTTCTTCTCTAAAATAGGATTCCTTCTTGCTACATTCGTAAAAACCTGCTATCTTAGACTGTGTCTTATCTTTTATCCGCATTTTTATTATCTATAAATATATTTTATTTATATTTATAATATGTAAATTAAACAGCATCTTTTTCAGACTATTATATAAAAATGTATTTTCTATTATTATTATAAAGAAAGAATACAATAATAGCAATACTCCAACTAAAATATCTGCAACTCAAAGAATAAAAGAAAATCATCTTTGCTGATTTCTCATAGGAATATGGGTCCTATACTCGTCTTTGGGCTATTCTACTAGCGGAATATACTTCTTTCAGAATAAAAAGTGCTGCTTCACTATGCGTAGGTTTCTGAAATGAAAATCGCTTGTTAAATAAATGGTTACACCTCATGTTTACATATGGCTGTATTAGAAGCAGGGGCCTTCTGGGTTTACTCTGGCACCTTCTATCGCATAGTCTTTAACTAGCATTGTATTATTTAGATTTATGATAGCACTTGCTTGAAATAGAAAAGAGTACTCAAATGAGATATATAACTCCAGTATCAGAAAAGGATATACTATGTTTTTTCTATCTTGCCTGTGCATATCCAGGCTTGGGTTATTTTTAGTTTTATTTTATTTTTCGGTTTTTCTCTTTTTATGGGGTAGTCTAAAAATAAAAGAGGTTTATTTCAACTCTAATTTTTTAATTATTTAACAGGAACTGTGGCTTGAAAGAAAATTTGTAAATACTAATTTAATTGGGCCATTATCTTGTTCCATCCTATGTAAGTCATAAATAATATTTGTTTTTAATAAAGCATGGTTAGTTCACAATTTATTGTTACACTATGATATGTTTTTGTGCAGCTCAATAATTTATTTAGATGCCTATACCTCGAAATAACCCGAAAAGCACTGCTTAATTCGCCTATGCTTTAATTTTATTTTTGTACTAATATTTGTAAGAGAACTGTACTTTGGATTATATATAAGAAGGTAGAAATATTTTATAGAAGTGCATTTAACTCTTTTTGTGCGCATGGCATCTTTACTGTGCTGAGCGAGATTTGTACATTAAGTCTATGCAGCCGGTTCCGAAACATAATAAAGTCTTTTTTAAAAGTTCCAATAATTATTTTTGCTGTGCATACGCCTGGTGCTCTGTGAAAGAGAACAAACTGCTTTACAATATAGCCCGAAATATAATTTCTGGTTGAAATATTTTCAGTAAAGTATGCGACTGTTTTTTCAAATTGTGGCTTGGCTGGCCAGTTCATCTGTGAATCTAGCCACCCAGTGATCCAGTTGGGAATCTTTAAGTCTTCTATGCTAGGAGTTTTCTGCTTCTTTACCCAATCAAATATCTTATAAAGTGGATCAAGATTTTTAACAGAGACCATATTCATCTTTTTTATCTTCATCAAATCGTTGTAGTTTATGCCTAGTACTGTTTGTATGGCAGGCGGCTCATTTTCATCCTGTCGAAGTGGTATGCTAAGCAAAGAATGCTTTTTCTCTTTTTCTATTATATGCACAAAGAACAACTGCAGTTATAGAAATAGCATTATGGAATATTTTTGCAAAAATGAAGACAGAAACTGCACAGAGCAACGGACAAAATATTGCAGTGGCACAAGAAAAAGAAAGAAAGAAAAGAGACTTTGGACTTCCTGCAGGCATAGTAGAGCACTTTGCAGAGAAAGGGGTTACAAGAGAAGAGCTTGCAGAGCTGGAAATAGACAGCATACTAGAGCAAACAGGAGATCTGGATGGAAAGGCAATGAACAAGGCCGTGCAGACTGTGCTAAAAACCACACGAAACATGGAGCAGCTGCGCACACGGTTAGAAATGCTTACTGGCCGGAAGAGTGACGAAGACACATATATAAGCGTAGTCAACAGTGTGCTGTACGCGCACAAACACACTCTGTATACCGAAGACAGAGAAGCTCTCCATGGGTATGCATACACACTTGCCACAGAGGCCGAGCATGCAAATGTAAAGCACATTGGCCGCGTTCTGCTTGCACATCTCCCAATAGAAGATGGTGTGCTTGTGCCCTTTATAGAGGAAAAGATGGCTAGCTTCTTCCCAGACACAGAGGACCTTGTTCCAGGACAGGAGGAGCGCATGGAGCAGCACGTCGCTCTATTTGCAGGCACACGGCAGAGCAAGAAGAACCTGTATAACTACATATCTGTTCGAGCAGACACTCTGTGTGTGCTGGCCAAGCGGGCAGTTAGTCCTCTTCCTGTGTGGAAGCAAGTGCTTTTCATCTACAAGAGAGCGCACAAAGAAACAATTCCTGCAGAGAAAGTGCGCGCCCTGGGCCTTGCAGTGCTCAAGACCCTGCGCACAGAAAAGGACCTTGTAGCCGCATCATCCCAGTACGTACAGAACATGCGCATAGTTACGCATGACTTTGTGTACGCACAGGCCATTCTATCTGCCCTGCTGGCTCTTCCAGAAACAGAAGAGACTGCGCACGCAATAGAAAAACTGTGCATATACGCACTCACAGAGAAAAGGTGCACAGTGCACTCTCTCCGAGGCATGGGAATTGCAAAGATGCCAAGAAAGCTGCTTTTCTCCATGCTGAAAAAGGTCAGATCAGAGAAAATAAATCTCTATGCATTTGCTCCTGTGGCTAAGCAACTTGTGCGAGAGCTTAAGCAGAGCCCAGAGGACTTAGCAGCTCTTGAGAAATACATAGCTGGTGTGCTAGGCGCCAAAACCCATATAGGCCTGAGGGACACTCTTAAAAACATTATTAAAATAACCCATCCAGAGAAGCTACAGAAAAAGCAGCGAGAGCCAAAGAAGAGCAGTGAATCAGCAGGAGATGCAACAACTGCTCAAGGTATTACATCCATTGAAGAAGAAAATAAGCAATAAGAATACTAATTA